CGAGCCGGCTCCTGGCAGCGCTGGGCTATGTCTTCCCCGAGTTGTACAAGAAGACGCGGGCCCTGCTGCCGAGGGCGACCCGGTGCGCAGTCAGCTGGTGTCGGCGGACGCCAGCGCAGTCACGGCTCCCCCTGCCACGCCTGGCGGCGTTGGCGATCGCGGGAGGCATGATCATGCTCGGACTCCCGCGGATGGCCATCATGGTGGCGGTATCACACGTCTGTTATCTGCGGCCTATCGAGGCGATGGCGCTCCTCGGCAAGAGCATCGTCGCCGCGGTCCCAGTGGCAGGTGCTGGCTACACCATGATGGGCTTAGTGCTGCACGAGACCTCCCTCGGCATCCCCGGCAAGACGGGGGCATTCGACGACGCTGTGACGATCGACGAGCAGTGGTTGTGGGAGCCCCTTCTCGGCCTGAAGCAGGCCAGCCTGCCAGATGGGAGCCTGTGGGGGTTCAGCAGCGAGCTTTACAAGGACGTGTTCATCGCAGTGGCCGAGGGTCTGGGGTTAGGACCATTCGACCCACATCCGTATCAGCTTCGACACGGAGGGGCGTCGGAGGACGTGGCGGCCAGAAAGCGAACACCAGAACAAGTCATGCGCCGGGGTCGTTGGACAACAGTGGCCTCTTTGAAGAGGTACGGGAAGGAGACCAAGCTGCTGCGCGCGATCAACCATATCTGTCCGTCCGTCTTCAACTTCGGCAGCGCGGTGCACCAGAGCTTCGCCGAGGCCATCAAGTTCGGGGTCGGCAATCGGCCCTCCCAGCTGCGAGTGCCAGCAGCTCTCGAATCCAGTGTCAAGCAAGCAGTGAGCAGACTTCCATCACGGCTAGTATCTCAGATTCCTGCAGTGGCCCCAAGATGAGCCATTCCCAACGGGTGAAGCGGTACCTTCAGCACCTCCTGACTCGGGCGCTGAAGAAGGCCACCACCAACAGAAGGGTTATCTTCTTGGAGCTTTTCGCGGGCAACGGGGGTATCGGCAAGTTTTTGAAGTCCCAGGGGTTCGCCGTTCTCAGCCTGGATGTCAAAAACCACGCTTTCCAGGACCATCTGTGCCCGGCCTTCCAGGCCGTTATCAAAGGTTGGATCCGCGGGAACGTTGTCGTCGGCATCTGGTTAGGGACCCCGTGTACCACCTGGTCTATTGCTAGACGGCCTGCTATTCGGGACTCAGAACACATTCTCGGACTCCCTGGGCTCAGTGCTGCTAATCAGGCTAAGCTAAATATTGGTAACGACACTTTCCTATTCTCTACCCAGATCATACGCCTTGCAAATCGTCATAATACACCAGTAGCTTTGGAAAACCCAAGTACATCTATGATGTGGCGTGCACCACACCTGTGTAGACTATTATGCGACGACTCCTGTGTGGTTCACGTCTGTGACATGTGCCAGTTCAGTGCTAGGTGGAAAAAGCGCACACGGATTGCGCTGTGGAATGCCGGCAGATGTACAGCCTGTTTTTTTTTTGTCTTTTGTTTTGTTGTTTTTTGTGTTCTATCTTTTTTTCTTTTTTTACTTGTTTATTTTTTTTTTGTTTTGTTAGGTTTTTTTATTTGTTTGTTGCTATTTTTTTTACTCTTGTTTTAGATTATTTGGTTGTTTTTATTTAGTTTGTTTAGTTTTTTTTTTGGTTTTTTTTTTTTCTTTTTTTTTTTTTTCTTCTTTTCTTTTCTCTGTTTTTCTTTTTATCGAGCGCCTTTGCTGTCCTCGTGGGAATATATGCTCAAAGTCCCGCAAGCCGCACATCGAACTGACAGGGAAGACGCCAGAAGGTATCCATTGGACTGCTATCGCTGCCGCCTACCCTACACAATTCTGCAATACGATGGGACGATACCTTATGGATGTGATAAACAACAACAAACAGATCAGAATGAACGAAATCTATGGTGTGCGGCCTACGGCCAGTTGACCAGTCGGGTTCGGGTACTGGAGGCTCGGCACCTTTAGCTCCGCCTCTGCCTCGACAAGAGCCCGGCTGCCTCACCTCCTCCTGAGAAAAAGCTGCCCCCTGGCCCCGTGTAAGAGGATCGGTCACTGTCTGAATTAAATACAGTAAGTGGGAGAGGGGTGAGCGGGGCCGCATGACACTGCGGCTCAAGCTCCCGCCCTGCTGCGAACCCACCCCGCTTTCGCCTTCTTTCTTTTTTCTCTGCCCTCAGGGGTACTGGAGGCTCGGCACCTTTAGCTCCGCCTCTGCCTCGACAAGAGCCCGGCTGCCTCACCTCCTCCTGAGAAAAAGCTGCCCCCTGGCCCCGTGTAGGAGGATCGGTCACTAATAATAATAATGATAATAATACGAATACTACTAATAATAATACTCACAATGATAATAATACTAATAATACTACTAATAATAATACTAATAATAATCATCATATTCATAGGAAAAAGAAGACGAAGAATAATAATACTAATAATAAGAAGAAGAATAATAATAAGAAGAAGACGCATAAGAAGAATAATAAGAAGACGAGGAGGAGGAGGAGGAGGAGGAGGAGGAGGAGGAGGAGGTGAGGGGAGGAGGAGGAGGGGAGGAGGAAGAGGGGGGGAGGAGCAGAAGCACTGTGAGGAAGGGCATGAGGAGGAGGAGGATGAGGAGAAGGAGGAGGAGGAGGAGGAGGGGAGGAGGAGGAGGGGAGGAGGAGGAGGAGGAGGAGGAGGAGAAGGAGGAGTAAGACTGCTACGGACTGCTATGACGGGGGACAAATGTCCAACGTCGAAAACAAGCTTCCGCACGAGGTCTCGAAAAATGGCGCCTCCTTCCCGCACAAGAGCAATATGCCATCGCCGAGGCTATCCGTGTGCAACGGCGAGCTAAGCTCAGTTCACTCCCGCCTCCGTGCAGAGGCACGTCTTCACCTCGATGGCAGCAACAAAGCTCGCGGGCGCTCCGCGCCTTCCCCCGCGGCGGCGGTGCTGGCGCTTCACGCCAGCCACCCTCTGGCCGCCGCAGTCGCCTCCTCTGCGCCTTCGCGGCGCCGCCGGGCCACCGGCCGCCAGCCTAGGGCGGCGCATCTCACAGCCCAAGATGGGCCCCACCTCCGCTGGTCGTTGGGACGGTCGCCCACTGCAACACACGCGGTGTAGCTCCCGGTTTTATTTACTGATCTCCGACCAGTAGTTGACCAATCACCAGCTCCCCTGGCAGACCAAGCAGGAGGAGGAGGAGAAGGAGGAGGAGGAGGAGATGGAGGAGGAGGGGGAGGAGGAGGGGGCGAAGGCAGCATCTGAAGACACCATTGCCATGAGATCGCAGATCGCAGGAGGAGGGGGGAGGAAGAGGAGGAATAGGAGGAGTATGGAGATGGCGCCCCCCAGGAAAATCCCAGCGTCGCAAACGATAGTTCGCGTCGTATTTCCATCTCGGCCCCGTTCAGCCCTATTCCTCGACGGTGTTCCGTCGCAGCGAGGACACCGGTTATCTTGGAGCCTCTCGCTTGGGACATCGATCCTACCTGTGCGGTTCTAAAATGCACCCCGTGCGCTCTTAATCGACTGGCCACGGCGATGCACCGTTGAACAGCCAGAAAAGAGTCTTCGCTGACGATAAGGCTCCATCTGGATCTTCCCAGGTCTGGTCCCTTTCCTGATTTGTGACGGCCGAAAGATGAGGAGTCGGAAGGGCATGAGGTAGGGGAAAAATGGGAAAACGACAAGCTCGTTTGAATCCGTGAGGGCTTCGCCCCCTGCCGCCAGCCCCCTCTCTATCAGAATGGGATACATCAGAGCTATATTGGGATGTTCGGGCGCCGTCTTGATGACATTCGGGAACGTCATGCTAGGGCGGCTGGCGATGAGCAAAACAGATTGAGATGTTGAAGTTGTTGTTGAATGCTTTGTTGCCTTCTTGGCATTTTCCTCCAGTTGTTCACTGGAAGCGCTCTGGGAACGGCTGGGGATTGCTTCAGGCAATCTCTGGGAAGGTTATTGTTTCTGCTCTGGAGAAGGAGTGGCGCCTTTGGGCAGCTTCCGCGAGGTGGATTCGTAGCGTGGGGGGTGCGCGCGAATTTGGGGTCATTTGCGGGGGATCGTGGCCTCGGGGACGCGAATGTGGCGTAATGTACGAGGGATCGTGGCGTCAGGGGCGCGAATTTGTTGTAATTTACAAGGGATCGTGGCCTCGGGGGAGCGAACATGATGCAAATTACGTGGGATCGTGGCTTCGGAGGCGCGAACGCGGCGTAGATTACGAAGGATCGTGGCCTGGGGGGGTGAATGTGGAACCCACCGCCGAATTTTCCAGAAACGGGGGGGGGCAAAATAATACCAGCGGAGCACATATCCCAATTCAGAATTGCCGTTTTTCTGTTTTGGACAGGGGAGCGTTTTTTTCGGCAGCCTCCGCAAGGCGGATTCGTAGCCTCGGGGGCGCGCCCGCTGCGTAATTTACGAGGGATCGTGGCTTTGTCGTAATTTACGAAGGATCGTGGCCTCGGGGGCGCGAAAATGATGCAAGTTACATGGGATCGTGGCGTCGGAGGCGCGAATGCGGCGTAAATTACGAGGGATCGTGGCCTCGAAGACGCAACTGTGATGTAAAGTACGCAGGATCGTGGCCTCGGAGACGCGAACGTGGCGTAATTTACGAGGGATCGTGGCCTGGGGGGCGCGAATACAATGTAAGTTGCAAGTGATTCTGGCTTCGGGGGCACGGACCTCCCGTATGTGTACGTGTCCCACGCCCCCCTCAGAAATTCTGAGAACCCTCCCGGGGGGTGCTAACCAGGGTCCTTTTCGGCCCCCCCCCCCCCGCGCGGACAGTAACAATGTACAGTAGGAAGCAGAAAGCAGCATTGTAACACTGGAAACTGGAAACTGGAACTGGCACAGGGAGCAGCAACCCTAAGCCTCGCAGCCTGATGGCCCCGCAAGGGGGCCAGCGGATATTATTCTGCGATTCGATAGATAGGTCATCCGAAATGTGCACCGCAGGCCGAAATGCTTTTGCAGCGCCAAAAGTGCACAGCGGCAGACATCCCCCCAGGAGCTTGGTGGCTTCATACTGGCCAGCCTGGCATGGAGCGGCGACGCTGGGAGGTCGTCAAAGCTGAATGGCACTTCGTCAGACAATTGTCACAGGGTGGCTTCATCGTTTGCCCTGGGCCCTCTTCTTCTCGTGTGCACTGCAGACTCCATGGGATCGTTGGGTAACGACAGCGGGTGCCCCAAACGAAATTGTTGACGCTTCGCGAATCCCCACCAGCCCATCCAGAAACGATGCCCAGAGGAGTTGCCTCGATCAGGGAAGTGGGCAGCAGACAGAGGAAGCCAGTCTGAGACATCTTGGGGTATTGAGCCATCCTGGAGGTCATCTTGGGCTCCCACAGGCGTTCTTGGAGTCATCTTAATCAGTGCCCCCCAAGAGGCCAACATGTGGGTAAAACCTTCGTAAAATCAATGATTTGGCATTCTCGCCGAGGCCTCTTGGAGCATCTTGGGTGCCTCTGGGGGGTCTCTTGGGGCCTCTCGGAGGTCTCTTGGGAGCCTCTTGGGGGCATCCTGGGTGCCTCTTGGGGCTTCCTGGCCACCTCTTGGAGCCCTCTTGGGGCACCCTTGGGGGCCTTGGGGGCCCTCTTTGGGCCATCTTGGGTGAGATCGATCACAGGAGGGGGGGTTACTAATTAGGCCCCCCCCCCTCAGGAGGCCCAAATGGGGCCAAAACCTTAGTAACACTAATGATTTTGGCTTCCTCGCCGAGGCCGTTTTGGACGCTCCGACGACTCGCGAGACCCCCTGTCCAGGTCCATGGGGATGGGGTCGGGGGAGGGCTACACCCCTCCCCGAAGGGGAAGAAGGAGGGGTGGAAGAGGAAACGCTCTCAACCACCGACGCCCAGAGGGCTGGTGGGACTCTACCAGGTCGGGGAGCGCCCTGCCCAGAGATGAGGAGGAAGAGAGGGGTCTGGGGAGGGGGGGAAGAGGCCGAGGTGGAGGAGGATGAGACTTGGCAGCTTTCTTTCCGATGCATTGTCGACGGCAGCTGCGGGGCTCCTCAGCGCTCCCACTCAAAAGCACTCACCCAGGAGCGTTGGGCAAACCGGTGATGCGGTAGACAGGAAGGGCTGATATAGAATGGTGATGCTGAGGATGAATTACGAGGGCAGAAGAAGAGGGGTCGTGGAATTGGCCAAGAAAATGGAGGCAACGCCAGTAGTTCGTTTCGTGTCTCCCCGCAGGCCAGTCCCCAAATCGAGGACAACCACAGGACAACCACGAATGCAATCGTATGGTATAGTCACAGGACAACCGCGGGACAACCACATGACAACGGACGACCGTACGATTCCATTGCCACTGGTGGGCAACCGCAGGACCACGGCGGGACAACAATGAGGCAGCGCGGTTCAGCTGTGACCCACCATGGGGCAATCTCGGTCAGCTTCCCCCCGCCCGCCCACACAGCACGAACCGACACCGAAGTCGAAACTTGTCTTCCCGCCCCCTTTCACTTCGGTCTCACCTCCGACCTTCGATTCGAGAAGAGCTGGAACTCTTAACCACCTACGCCCATAGGGCTGGGGTGGGAATCATAACGTGCTCCTCGCCACTTGAGTGCAGGTCAGATGTGGTGGCCGCTGGTGGTGCCGAGCTGGCCTCGGGCTTATGGCGATCACTACGACGTCCTGGCAGTCATTTTCCACGACGCCACGAGTTCCATGTGCTTTGGGTATCATGTTTTGATTGTCGCTGTTGTTCGGAGTGTCAGAGATGGACCTGGTGCAGCGGAGAGGAGGGCGAGAATGAGGACGATGAGCAGGACGAGGCGGGGGGTTGAGCAATCAGGCCTCGGATCGGGTCAACTCACCATGATGAGAACTTCAACTCAGTATGACCGGTCCGAAGTTGCTAAGCTCCAAGGAGCTGTGCAGCGCACCGAGGTATGGGGCTTCAGCAGCCGCTTTCGAGACTAGCACTTGGTCGCGGCGCGGGCGGCAAGCGGGCGCCCACCGCATGCCTTATCCTTTCCGTCCTCCTTCTCGTCCTCGTGCTTTCACCTGCTTCCTTCCTTCTCATCCTGCTCCGCCTCCTCCTCCTCCTCCTCCACCTCATCCTCTCTCGCCCCCCCTCGAGCTCTCGCTCTTGCATGCTTCGGGAGCCGATGCGCGTCCGAGCTTGCGGCAGGGCTGGGGCTCCGAGGCCCTGCGGGCGCTTCGCAGGCGCCCTGGCAATCCTTCGGCGCACGCGGCGGCTTGCAGGATCCTGGAGGCGGTCTGCGCTGGCAGCGAGGAGCCCCCCCCTTCCTCCTCCGCAAGTGACTGGGTAGGCGGGAAGTCTGGGAGGTGAGAGGGCGGGATCGTGGAGAAGGCGGAACACTGAGGCTGACGCACAAGGAGTCAGGAAGACGGAGACGGGGAAGGGAGGATGGAAGAGGAATGTCACACTTCCCGCTTTCCGTTTCCCCCCCTCTCCCTTCCCCCCCAGCCTTGTCCCCTCCTTCTCCTCCTCTTCCTCCGCCTCCGCCTCCGCCTCCTCCTCCTCCTCCTCCTCCCACTTCCGTCGCCATGCTTGCTCAAGTTCTAAACGTGTCCCAGGTGTTTCGAATTTGGACGCAGCCGATGGGAAGGCTCGGCGTCCCGCCCTTGGACAGGCCCCATCTGCACGTCCACCTCAGCGAGCACCCAGGCGGCTGAGGACTCTCTTGTTTTTTCCCAACCATCCTGTGGTGTTGGTTCCTCGTTTTGAAGAGACAGCGCCCCGCGTTCCCACTCCTCCTCCTCCCCCTCCCCCCTTCCCCTCCCCCTCTTCCAATCTGCCTCGTCATCGTCATCGTCAGCGTCATCATCGTCATCATCATCGCCATCGTCATGATCCACATCATCGTGAGCATCGCCATCGCCGTCGTCAGCGCCGCGTCCCCCACACGGTTCGTGGCTTCATAGGGAGCTCCACCGAAGGCCCCAGTGGCAGGGTCCGCATGGCGGCGCCGCCCCACTTTGGCTCCACCGAGGGCCCCAGTTGCAGGGTCCACATGGCAGCGCTGGCTCCACCGAGGGCCCCAGTGGCAGGGTCCACATGGCGGCGCCGCCCCATCTTGGCGCACCCCTCACACGGTTCGTGGCCCCATAGGGAGCTCCGCCGAAGGCCTCAGTGGCAGGGTCCACATGGCGGCGCCGCCCCATTTTGGCGCACCCCTCACACGGTTCGTGGCACCATAGGGAGCTCCACCGGAGGCCCCAGTGGCAGGGTCCGCATGGCGGCGCCGCCCCATTTTGGCGCACCCCCAGCGCCGCCGCATTTTGGCGCACCCCTCACACGGTTCGTGGCCCCATAGGGAGCTCCACCGAAGGCCTCACTGGCAGGTCCACCGAAGGCCCCACTGGCAGGGTGCAGGGCCCTCGGTGGAGCCAAAATGGGGCGGCGCCGCCCCATTTTGGCTCCACCGAGGGCCCCAGTGGCAGTGGCAGCGCTGGCTCCACCGAGGGCCCCAGTGGCAGGGTCCACATGGCGGCGCCGCCCCATCTTGGCGCACCCCTCACACGGTTCGTGGCCCCATAGGGAGCTCCGCCGAAGGCCTCAGTGGCAGGGTCCACATGGCGGCGCCGCCCCATCTTGGCGCACCCCTCACACGGTTCGTGGCCCCATAGAGAGATTCACCGAAGGCCCCAGTGGCAGGGTCCACATGGCGGCGCCGTTCCATTCTGGCACACTCCTCACACGGCTCGTGGCCTCATGTGGAGCTCCACAGAAGGCCCCAGTGTCAGGGTCCACATGGCGGCGCCGCCCCATCTTGGCGCATCCCTCACACAGTTCGTGGCCCCACAGGGGGCTCCGCCGAAGGCCCCGGTGGCAGGGTCCGCATGGCGACGCCGCCCCATTTTGGGGCACCACTCGCACGGTGGCCCCATAGGGAGCTCCGCCGAAGGCCTCAGTGGCAGGGTCCACATGGCGGCGCCGCCCCATTTTGGCGCACCCCTCACACGGTTGGGAGCCCCACCGGAGGCCCCAGTGGCAGGGTCCGCATGGCGTCGCCGCCCCATTTTGGCGCACCTCTCACGCGGTTCGCGGCCCCATAGAGAGCTCCACCGAAGGCCCCAGAGGCAGGGTCCGCATGGCGGCGCCGCCCCATTTCGGCGCACACATCACACGGTTTGTGGCCCCACAGGACGTTCCACCTAAGGCCCCATTGGCGGGATCCGCATGGCGGCGCCGCCCCATTTTAGGGCACCGCTCGCACGGTTCGTGGCCCCATAGGGAGTCCACCGAAGGCACTAGTGGCAGGGTCCGCATGGCGGCGCCGCCGCTTTTTGGCGCAGCACTTACGCGGTTCGCGGCCCCATCAGGAGCTCCACTGAAAGCGATACCCACATTGCAGCACTCGCAGCTGCATTTGGCTGGGTCCTTCGTCAGTTTTTGTTCCCCCGCCTCTCTCTCACATCGTTCTTTGTCCAGCACCCGCGGTCGCGGGTAAACAAACATTCCCAGTTCCTGCGGTCGTAGGTTCTTGCAGCATGGCGCTCCTGGCTTTTCCAGCCGAACCGACTCTGGCGCCATCGCAGGATGAGGATATGGCTGCGGACAGTGAAGGCCACATGAGGAAAGCTGGCGATGACGGACGGCTACGTGGACCTCATAAGCCAGACTGCTCCTGCTGAGCAGCCTGCCTGGCTCCACGCGCTCATCAACCCGCTCAGAGAGGTCAATGCCAACTTCAGTTCCTTGAGGCAGAAGGTTGAAGACCAGAACTTGAAGTTTGAACCAGTGCAAGCGCAGTGCGACGGCATCTCGGCTGACATCCAGTCCGCCTGCTCCTTCTCCTCCTTCGTTTCCTCCCCCTCCTCCTCCTCCTCCTTCTTCTTCTCCCCCTTCCCGTTTCTCAGCTTCCTTCCTTCTGCTGCCTGCTGCTGGCTCCCTGTTCCTCCCTCCCTCCTACCCCCCTCCTTTCTTAGCCGCTCCTCCTCCCCACTCCCCTGCTCACCGACTTCGTTCGTTTCTCCTTGCCCCCTCCTTCCCCTCCCCTCCCCCGTCCTCTCCCCTCCCCCTCTCCCGCCCTTCCTTCTGTTCGGCCTCCACCCCCGCTCCTGCGCTCGGTGCGCAGGACATTCAGCACCTGGCAGCCCTGCACGGAGGCGCGGGGCCAGGGGGGGAAGTCCCTGCGCGCGTGCTCGGCTGCCGCGCACTGCGGGCGTGTGCTCGGCCGGCCGCGCCCACGGGGGCACGGGGGGACTGTTCTGCGGCCTCGCGCTTGGCGCCTCGTCGCCGCCGTCGTCGTCGTCGTCGTCGTCGTCGTCGTCGTCGTCGTCGTCGTCGTCGTTCTCCTGCTCCTCCTCCTCCTCCTCCTCCTCCTCCTCCTCGACATCCTCTGACGTCTGCGGCGGTGCTTGCCGCCGTTGCCGCGCAGGTTCTCACCAGAGACGCTGCTGCACCGCCTCTAGTCCTCCAGTTCACTTTCGCATGTCTTCTTTCTCCTCCTCCAGGTCGTCCTCTTGCTCCTCCTCCTCCTCCTCCTCCTCCTCCTCAACCTCCACCTCCTCACCATCCTCCTCCTGCTCGTCCTCCCTTTCAACTTGTTTCTCCTGCTCATGGGCGGTCCCGTGGCGTTGGGGGCGGACCCAGTCATTGGCAGAGGGCCCAGCCCGGTACATCCCGGGACGGGGCCTCGCTGAGAGGTATGCTGTTGGCCTGGCCAAGATGGCAGTCATCTCGTGATTCCTCCCGCTCCTCCTTCGCTCTCTTCGTCCTACTACTTCATCTGTGCCTTGTTCTCCTTCCCCCGTCCCCCTGCCTCTGCGCTCCCCCCGCGTCTGCTACTTCCACTCCGCATGCCTTTCCCTCTCCTGCCTTCTCTTCCTCCTCGATCTCACCCGTTTCCTCCTACTTCCGCTCTTGCTCTTTCTCCCCCTTACCATCCCTCGTCGCCTCCTCTTCCTCCTGTTTCTGCTTCTGTCCTTATTTGGCCACTGATGCTGCCATCACAATGGCCGCTGCCACTGCGACTGTGGCTGATACTGTTGGTGCCACTGCTGGTTTTACTGCTACCGCTGTTTCAGCCGCAACCGCTACTGCTACTGCTGCTGCTACCGCTAATGCGATTGCTGTTGCTACTGCCACCCCGATTGCAGCTGCTGCTGCCAGCTGCTGCCACTTGTGCTTCATGCAGCTGTCTCTGCAGCCGCACCTGCTGCTAATGTTACGGTAGCTGCTATCGCTATTGCTGATGCATCGGCTTTCGTCGGAGGTTGGGGGGTGAGATCGCAGTGGAACGGAGACCCCCAACCGGGAAATCGTTTCGGTTCGTTCGTGTCGTGCGTGCTGGCGAGGCGAAGCTGCGTGGGCGCGCGAGAGCAATGAACCCGCCGTTGCTATTGCGTAGTCAAGACAAATGTTGCTCCCCCGTCCGTCCGTCCGTCTGTCTGGCGGTGGCTCGCGGTGTCCCGCGGTGTCCCGTGGTGTCCCGTGGTATCCCGTGGTGTCCGCCTTTGCTAGGAGATCGTTTTTTTTTGTTTTTTTTTCCTCTGCTCTGGTGGGTAACGCTTGTTACCCGGCCCCCCCCCACCCCCCCTGGGCAACGCTAGCGATCGTGCGTTTTTTGGGAGTGGAGGGCGGACCCCCTTCCTTTCAGCAGGTACGGCGCTGTGCTAACAGGCATGGCGTGGTGCTGAAAGGCATGTGTGGTGCTCACAATCGTGTTGTGGCGTTCGCCGGTTCCCCACTTGTTGCGGCGCCGAACTCACAGGCATGGCGTGGTGCTAAAATGCATGCTTCGGTGCTCACCTTCCAGTTGTGGCGCCTGCAGGCTATTGCAGCGCGCAGACTAGTGTGGTTTACGTCTACATCCCTATGTTCTCTTCCCCTGCTCTTCCAACTCTGGAAGCAATGCTGCCAGAGGATTTCGCAGCCATGTGTGGGTGGAGCAACGGTCATCTCGCGTCTGTTACAATTGGCGCTGGCGAAGGCGAGGCGACGTCGAACCAGGTGCTGGATGGCATAACATATCCTACCTCCTCCCGCCTGCTCCACCGCCTACTAATATCCTCCCCCTTCTTCGTCCTCCTCTGCCCCTCCTCTTCCTCCTCTGCTTCCTCTTCCCCTCTCGATTGCGCTGTGCGTTATTGGAATATACATATATCGGCGCACCGGGTCCGGGGGCCCGGGGCCGGGACCTCGACCACAAATGTGCACCCCGGGGGGCCCGGAGGCTCGTCGGGGCTTGCCGGAGGCCTCCCCAGTCAGACAAGACGGCCCAAGAAGCGCCCAAGACGGCCCAAGAAACTTCCAAGAGGCCTCCAAGAGGGCTCCGAGATGCTGAAGATGGCCTCCAGACGTCCAAGGACGCCCCCAAGAGGCCCCAAGAAGCCTCCAACATGCGTCCCAAGAGGGCCCCTAGACGCAAAAATTGGCCCATTCCCTTCGTAAAACGTACATTTTCAACAAAGTTGTCTTTTGGGCTTTCCGACGTTACAGGACGGCCCAAGAGGCGCCCAAGACCGCCCCAAGACGGCCCAAGAAGCTTCCACAGAGGGCCCCAGGACAGCCCAAGAGGGCCCCAAGACGGCCCAAGAGGCGCCCAAGATGGCCCAAGAGGGCCCCAAGACGGGCCCAAGAGGGGGCCCAGAGGAGGACCACGAACCGCAAGCTCGAGCCTTCCGCCCCAAGAGGCCGCCAGGAGGCCCCCAGGAGGCCCCTCAAGAGGCCCCGGGAGACCCCAGACGTCCAAGGACGCCCCCAAGAGGCTCCAAGAAGCCTCCAACATGCGTCCCAAGAGGGCCCCTAGACGCAAGAATTGGCCCATTCCCTTCGTAAAACGTACATTTTTAACAAAGTCGCCTTTTGGGCTTTCCGACGTTACAGGACGGCCCAAGAGGCGCCCAAGACCGCCCCAAGACGGCCCAAGAAGCTTCCCAGAGGGCCCCAGGACAGCCCAAGAGGGCCCCAAGACGGCCCAAGAGGCGCCCAAGATGGCCCAAGAGGGCCCCAAGACGGGCCCAAGAGGGGGCCCAGAGGGGGACCACGAACCGCAAGCTCGAGCCTTCCGCCCCAAGAGGCCGCCAGGAGGCCCCCAGGAGGCCCCTCAAGAGGCCCCAGGAGACCCCAGACGTCCAAGGACGCCCCCAAGAGGCCCCAAGAAGCCTCCAACATGCGTCCCAAGAGGGCCCCTAGACGCAAGAATTGGCCCATTCCCTTCGTAAAACGTACATTTTCAACAAAGTTGTCTTTTGGGTTTTCCGACGTTACAGGACGGCCCAAGAGGCGCCCAAGACCGCCCCAAGACGGCCCAAGAAGCTTCCAAGAGGGCCCCAGGACAGCCCAAGAGGGCCCCAAGACGGCCCAAGAGGCGCCCAAGATGGCCCAAGAGGGCCCCAAGACGGGCCCAAGAGGGGGCCCAGAGGGGGACCACGAACCGCAAGCTCGAGCCTTCCGCCCCAAGAGGCCGCCAGGAGGCCCCAGGAGGCCCCTCAAGAGGCCCCAGGAGACCCCAGACGTCCAAGGACGCCCCCAAGACGCTTCGCGTCACCAATTTCTTCTCGCAACGATTCCTGGGTCTGTGACTCGACAGAACCTAAGCGCGCGCGAAGCGCGCGCGTGGTTCTAGTTATATAAGTGGCCGTTTGGGCCACATGAGATTATCCGCACAGAGCCGTTGCCCCTTCGCCTCGTCCTCCCCCTCGCTCCTCCTCGTCCTCCTCGTAGGCTTACGCTCGCACTTGCGGGCTGAATTTCGTGACATTTTCGTTGCGTGCTGGCGCGCCGAGGTTCGATGTGGCTGTTCTCTTTTGCCTGCTCATGTGCCATTCAATACATAAAAACACCTCCTTCCATCCTCCCCCACTCCCTCCCGCCTCCCTCCTCCCCCACCTCGCTCCCGATTGTTGCCCCTCCTCCCATATCCTTCCATCTCCTCTTGGCCGTCTCGTTCCACGGAAGCTTGAAGGACGAGCCCCGAGAGCCTCGTTAGTCAGCGGCGAGCCCCGCAAAACGGCGGGGGAGGAGGAGGAGGAGGAGGGGGAGGGGGAGGAGGACCAGACGCAGGAGGAGGAAGAGGAGGAAACAACGCGGTACACACAGGCGCTGTGGCGCACACGGCTGGTGCACTACAAAAACACTGCGGTGTACACGGGCGACGCGGTGAGGGCTGCCGCGGTCCTGTGGCGGGCCCCGCAAAACAAAAATCCTTCGCAAAGTACTGATGTTCCCGTTGGCACGTTTTGTTGTAGACAGGCGTTGTGGTGCGTCGAAGCATTGGCGTGCGCAGCGCTGTGGTGCACATCGTTGCTGTGGTGCACGCGCGCGCTGCGGTGTGCGCAAGCCGTCTGGCGCACGCAGGCAATGTGATGTACAGAGGCCCTGTTGCGCACGCGTTTGCTGCAGTATAGATATTGCGGCGTACATGTGCGACGTGGTGGCGTTGTGCACGCAGCTGTTGTGGTGCACCGAAGCGCTGTGGTGCATTAGGGCGGCGATGTCTTGCACGAGTGCATTTGGCACTGTCGCGTGCGCAGGGCTTGCAGCGCACGCAGGCAATTTATGTGCCGATGGCGCGGGTTCACCCTGGCGGGCGCACGCCGCGGCCGCCGTTACCGTTACCCGCTGGCCCAACCCGCCCCCCCGGGCAACAACCGTTACCCAAGATAAAAAAAACAGTCTCTACGGCGAGGTCAAGACACATGATTATCCCCCGCCCGCCCGTCCGTCCGTCCGTCCGGCGGTGGTTCGCGGTGTCCCGCGGTGTCCCGAGGTGTCCCGTGGTGTCCCGTGGTGTCCCGTGGTGTCCCGTTGAGTGAAATCGATAGTGATATCGATGGTGAGATCGATAGTGAGATAGACCGATAGTGATATCGATGGTAAAATCGAAACTGAGATTCCCGGAGGTGTCCCGTGGTGTCCCAAGCAGTGAGATCGATAGTGATATCGATCGTGAGATCGACAGGTGTCCCGTGGTGTCCCTTTGAGTTTATCGATACTGATATCGATAGTGATATCGATATTGAGATCGGTGTGGTGCCCCGAGGTGTCCCGTGGTGTCCCGGTGAGTGATATCGATAGTGGGATCGATCGGGAAATCGACAGGTGTCCCGTGGTGTCCCGTGGTGTCCCGTTGAGTGATATCGATCGTGAGATGGATCGTGAGATCGGTGTGGTGTCCCGAGGTGTCCCGTTGTGTCCCGTGGTGTCCTGTGGTGTCCCGTTGAGCGAGATCGATCGTGAGATCGATAGTCAGACCGATCGTTAGATCGAGAGGTTTCCTGCGGTGTCCCGAGGTGTCCCGTGGTGCCCCGTGGTGTCCCGTGGTGTCCCGTTGAGATCGATGGTAAGATTGATAGTGAGATCGACAAGTATCCCGTGGGGTCCCGAGGAGTCCCCTGGTGTCCCGTGGTGTCCCGTTGAGTGAGTTCGATAGTGAGATCGATTGAGTCCGGTGTTGGTTCCCCCCCTCCCCCCCCACAACCTCCTTCTCACCCGAAGGGCGGTCTTATAGGTACGCACTACCACTTCTTCTGCATATGGTTGCGTCGTGCCTGTTGCCAAGTTCGTGGCGTGTGCACGCGTGGTGGTAGTTCACCCGTTGCCAAGCAATCATCATGCGCTGCGCTGCCTAGAACGTGTGGTTCAGTTTCCATGCGTCATGCCATGTGCATCTGCTACGTGCGAGCTTTCACCTCTTACATTATTCCGAATACTTCCTTTAGACAAGTACATTGTAAATGCTACGCGCCACATGCTACCTTCCATGTGCAACATAGTGTGCACTAGCTGCGTCGTGCAGCATGGCACCTACTACGGAGTGCGAGCTGTGTGCTGCCTTTACCTAGCACCTAGACGACGTTCGGCACACTGGCCAGCACACCCCAGCTAGCACCGACTGCACACTACACTCGTTGCGCGCTGTTCATTGTCTGCCAGCTGGCACACGCGGCATACGCCACTATCTGTTGCATCGAGCCAACTACTTACCGCACGTTGCCAACAACGTGTTTCTGCCCATATTCCACTCGCACCGTGCTACCAACCAGTCTCTGTCCACTGCCTACTACCCACCACCACCCACTCACTGCATCACACCTGCTGCGTTCGAGCTATCGCGTTCGACCTGCAAGCTATACATGTAGGTTGCGAGGCGATGACATTTCACACTACGTATCACATGCGACGTACTTTCCATGGCCGCATGCAACTGAGTACCCGCAACCTGCATTCTGGTATTGGCCACGTGCTACGATATACTTCTACACTCCATCTACAACCTACTGCTGACTGACTGCCTGCTTCCCACTGCGTACTGCCCACTCTGGCAGGAGTTTCTGGATAGGTCTTTGGTCGCAGAGTCAAGAGGTCTTTGAGCTTTTGGGTGGTAGGAGATACTGACTGTCGCTGGGTGGTAGCGGCCAGTGTTCCTTTGCCTCCCCTCTCCTTCGCTCTGATTATTTGCACCGTTGTGCTCGATGTGACGTAGGTGACCGTCGGCGCCCCATGGGTCTCACACAGCGTTGCAGCCCTCCCTCCCAACCTTGCACTGTTCAACTCTTCGCCTGGCTTCCACGAGTGCCCTGTGCCGCTGGATCGCCAGCCTGCCAGGGCGTCTTTCGTAGTGTCTCCCCCCAGCCATCGTGATTGAAGAGTTTGGCACTTGTTTTATCGTCCTGATGTTCTCAATGTCGCCCCTCCTTGGCCCCCCCATCCAGCGCTGCGTATTTGATGCTTCAGTTGATGTGGTGGATTTGGGTGATTCCGCTGCCTTAGTTCGCGACTGGAGATGTCCCATTTGAATCCACGCGGTTGCAGGGTCGCGGCGGAACTACCCAGACACCCCCTCTGGAGTGCAGGTGAGATCTTCCGTTGATGCGTTGTTTTGCTACGACTTGCAATGCACGTGTCTTCTTGTGTTCGCTGGTCCGTATATAGCGAATACGGGATAGCCCCCCCCGAGGGGCAGCGTACTTATCCATCAGCTTTTCTTGCTTGTTTTCGTGGAACAAGACACAAGAGGTCCTTGAGCCGGCTACGGCGGCTTGCACGCGCACCCCCACATACGTTTTCGTGGGGTATCTTGTTTCTGACATGGGCAGCGCGGGTGCTCGAATCTTTTGGCGAAATCGCCTGCCCTGTTTTCAAGATCGGTTTTCCCTACGTCCGCCCTCGGTGCGATCCTCTCTGGAGGGGAGGGCCTTGCCTCTGCGAGCCCAGCCCTGCGCCGACCTGGGTCCCGGTACCGGCCAGGGTTCCGCCGACGCCTTCGGGAGTGTTAGTGGGCGAAAGCTGCGGGTCTCTGCTCGCCTCGCCCAGCGCCGTTCCGAGGCGTGCAGGCGCTGTTCGAGGCGATGTTCGACCACCCCGCCGAGGCAGGCGGTTGGGGCCAAGGGGGGCCACAGAGTAGGAGGGAGGTGGGAGCAGGGTGGAAGGAGGAGGGGGAGGAGGGATCGAGGATTCTGTTGGCATGTTGGTCCGCAAGGCAGAACGATCTTGGAGGCCAATGCCTACGCTCCACCCTCTCAGCGCAACTCCAAGCGGAGGCCGACGGACGCGAGCAGGAGGAGGTCCCAGGCGGGCAGCAGCGGGGCGAAGCCGACGTCCACGACACGACCCTTGTCCTTGCCCTTGCCCTTGCCCTTGCCCGCGGCGCCGAGCTTGACGCCTGCGATGGCGGTGCCCGCGCGAGCGATAGCGCCCTCGCGGCTAGCCCACGGGCCGTCACGATGCGCACCCACGCGCCCGCCCGCCTGCCAGCGCGCGCGCTGCCCAGGCTGCGCGCCAGCATCGCTGGGTGGTGCACGACCTCGCGTCCGATCCTGCTTCGGGCGAGG